AATGGAATTCTTGTCATTATTTAATGCAAACTTCGTGAAAGCAGCATTCAGAGCCTGATATATTGGCTCACAAATTACTGTGGTCAGAATATCCATATTGTATTGCTTTGAGAGGGCAAAGTCATTCATCACACATGCTGAAACTGTGCGTACTATTGATACAGAAACAGGAGAGAAACAGCAGCTTTTCTTCTGTTCTTTAGGGAACGGTTGACCTTTTCTTTGACTCGGAGTCAAGACACACCTGGCTTACACCACTGACTCACTCATGCCTGGGCAAGGCCATTTCACTATTTTACTAAGTCATTGTGACATTATTGCTTGTGGAATAACTACATGATGTGGTTCGCTCTGTTTATTTTAGTACGAAAGGTGGCACGCATTGCTTTCTTGTCTGTGTAAAAAGGTTGTGCTTTGAAAAGCATCACGCACAGCAAAATGCACTAAAAAGACATTGAAGGAGATTTTGCCATTCATCTAAAAGAATGTTGATATTTATTTGAAAAGGGAAGGTGAAAAACTCTCAGGTCGCTGTCAAAGTCAAACTCCACTACAGGCCCGTTAAATAAACTCCCCGTGCACAGATTTCTTGATAACAGCTAGATATAAACTCCAAATCTGCTAAACTTTCACCTCTGAACCAAAGTTAACCTGATTCTGGCCTTAAATGATTGGAATTATGTTGAATTCAATCGTTCCCTGTAGTGTTTCAGACTAAAGACCAGATTTAGCCCAGAAAACAACATTCATGGACAAGTAATGCTGGGGGTATATCTGTGTAGTATCTATCATTATACTGTTAACAGTAGGAACATTTCACAGCTAAACAGATAAAAACAGATGTTTTAAATCTCAAGTAGCAAAACCTTGACTCCATATAAATATTTTTCTCTTTAACCATCAGATGTGTAAATAAGTCAGTTTCTAACAGATTCACGACTATCACTGATAGAAATTACATTTGCGTGTTATTCACTGTGTGAAAGCAGCTAAGAGTAAAGTAGAAGGAACAGTATATTTCTAAAACGATTCCGAACACACTGCAGGTTCATGGTATTTGGTCCATGGCCATTAATTCATAAATAATTTAAGTGTAGCTTAATTTTAAAAGAGAAATTCTTAGTATGCTCATTTATTGACCACATTATATTATGTTGCTGACTGACAGTCTGATAAAAAATATATATACATGTCTCACCTTTGACCTTGACCTGCACAACATCATTAGCATCCTCGAGACCTTGCTGCACCTCACAGCGGTAAAAACCAGTGTCGTTCTGCCTCACGCTCTCAAGACGCAGGGTGAGGTCAGCGGGGGAGTAGGCATAGTTGAACAGAGAGGCCCGTTCCTTGTAGGCCTCACTGACCCTCACTCTGTCACCGCGGGCCACCAGGATCTCTGTCTCCATGCCATGATTTAGGATACTCCATTTAATCCGGGGGACAGACAGCACAGCGTGGCGACCATTGGTAGAGGGGGATGGCGGAGGGTGTGCCAGAGACACCAGGCAGGGTAAAGTCAGAGAGCCACCGAGCACCGCAAACACAGGTTGGGTGGCGGGGATGGTTACATGGAGAAGCTTCGAATCATCTGAGAAGAGGCAAGCTTTAAAGTAACAAGCGACCTTTTGTAATGCACTCTAATTTTTTTTATAAGAATCAGATGAGAAGGTCAAGACCACTGTCATGTTTGTGTGTTAAGCAGAGACACAGAGTCGGAGCAGCTTTAGAACTCCCAGTTTGTCCCTTGTTGCCTGCAACAAAGAAAAACTGACTGACTGGGTTGCCTGCATCTCAGTCTTTTCCCAGCATTTCTTCCATCACCGCTGTATGTCTTCCTTTATTACATCCATGAATCTTCATTATCCTTTGCGCATATCCAAACCCTCACAACCATGCCTTTCTAACTTTCTCTCTAAAATGCTCAACCTGAGATGCCCCTTATATATATATTCATATCTGGTCACTGTGCAACTCTGCTACCTTTAGCTTTACCTCCTGTCTTTTTGCTACCATATCCAAACTATGCATCATAGTGTAGGTCTCACTGCCATCTTCTAAACTGCCCTTTTCACACTTGCTGCTATCCTTCTGTCACATATCACCCTTGACACACTCTCTTCTTCACTTCTTTTATGCACCGGCTGACCCCAGGCACTCATTCACCTTCACTACCACAATCTTTGCATTATCTACCACTGAAGCAGTAGAGAGCAGTGATGCGGCTGTAGTGTACACATTTCAAGGTGGATTCGGGGTAAAATGAAACTAGGCGTAGGGTGACCTTGGACGTGAAGAAGAGGTAGTGAGTGAAGGTAGATCCAAGGATGAAATAGTGGAAGTTGAAGAAGGAAGAATGTTGCAGGGAATTCAAGGAGGAAGAAATTAGGTGATATGGTAGAGTTACCAGATGCATGATGAAGGAAGCTGCCAAGAAGGTGTTTTGTATATCCTATGGACAAAGGAAAGTGGATAAGGAGACTTGGTGATGGAATGAGAAAGTACAGATAAGCATTGAATGGAAGATTTTGGCAAAGAAAAAGTAGGATAGTGAAGGAGTAATTTGAGGCTGTGGTTTACAGCAAATAGAGAGGTGGTAAAAAAATGAAAAAGACTTATAGTGATTTGTATGTGAGGCTGGAGACTAAGGAAGGAGAAAGAGACTTGCAGCATTTGGCTAGATAGAAAGACTGAACTTGAAAGGATGTGCCGGAGGTTAGGATGATTAAAGATATATGTGGTAACATACTAACAGGTGAAGAGAGTGTATTGAGAGTGTTGAAGAAGTAGTTTGAGGAACTGAGGAATGAAAATGAGAGAGAGAATAAGACAGATGGAAAAAACGGTTCCTACGAAGCAAGTGAGGGCAGCTTTGGAGAGGTTGAAGACTAGGAATGTGATTTGTCCAGAGGACATGCCTGTGGTGGTGTGGAGATGTCTTGGAGAGAGGGTAGTGGACTTTTAAACCAGATTTCTGAACACAAATTTGGAGAGTGAGAGGAGGAGTGGAGAAGTGAACTGGTACAGATTTTCAAGGACAGGGGTGATGTACAGCACTGTAATAACTACAGATGGGATAAAGTTGATGAGCCATATCATGCAGATATGTGACAGAGGTGTTAAAGCTAGGTTAAGGAGAGAGGTGACGATCAGTGAGCGGTAATATGGCTTCATGCATTACAGATGTGATGTTTGCTTTGACAGGAGCTGCGCTGTTTTTTTGTGTATCTAGAGAAAGCATATGATTGGGTGCCAAGAGGGGAACTGTGGTATTGTGTGAGGAAGTTAGAAGTGACAGAAAAGTATTTGAGGTTGGTGCAGGACATGTATGAGGATGGTGAGACAGTGCTGAGGTGTGTGATAGGAGTGACAGATGAATTTCAGGTTGGCACGAGATTACATCAGAAATTGTCTCCAAGCCTTTTCTTCTTTGCGATGGTGATGGACAGGCTGACAGATGTGGGCAGGCAGGAGTCTCCGTGGACTGTGATGTTTGCGGACAATGATGTGATTCAGTCACTGGTAAGTTCAAAATCAAACTCTGGTGGGTAAAATATGAAACATGGCTGAGGTTTTAAATAACAGTGTCGGTGTCTCTGGGAGTGAAAAGCTCAGATTTTAGACTGGTCAGAATGCTCTGTTTCAGACAGTTTCTTCTACTCTTATCTGTATAAAAAAAGGATACTAATGTGTTCATTTCAGACACACAGCTTTGGCTGTGAACACGACAGTATCACCCACCTGCTGTTATGTTTGCAAAAATCACCAAAGCAGAGGAAAGTTGACTTAAAGAGAGGGAGACATTACATTTAATTCATGTTTGTCAGACAGTGGAGGAACCGAGGGTGTGCACCAAAACCCAGAAGGAAATGTGAATCACATAAAATTGCTCTAGGAGAGCCCGAGAATAAGAAAGAAATGAAACTAGAAATGAGCATAAAAGGTCAATTTTAATTAGCTACTTCTTAGGTTATTATACATACTATTCATTGATGACAATTGTGTTTTAGTAATATTATATAAATTAGGGACACACAAACATGGCTCAGCCACTTCTCTTAAACGTAGACACAATGATGTTTTAACAAAATGCTAATGTTAGCTAAATACAGTTAGAGCTTTCATCCTGATGATGGTACTAGATGAAAAGTTAAGGGATTGCCTGTTGATATACAAAATGAGCCATTTGATGACTTTTTCTTTAATTTTCTTATTCTTTTGCTGACACAACAAAAGAGCTACATTTACATAGTGGTATCAAGTAACCTTGATTTTTAGCTGGAACACTCAGATACCTTTGAGCATGGCTTCCACAGGGTGCATGTCAGCAAAAACAATAAATGACATCAAATGATTAAAGAGGACCCTACTGCCCTAAAATGGTAGAGGTCAGGTGTGATTTAATGAAGCTGTGGATGTCAGTAGTGGATGGCAGTGGTGAAAGTGACGGAGATAGAGAGGGAGAGGTGCATACCAGGCTCATGGAGGGAAGTAGAGGGCGATAGCAGGACAAAGAAACAGATGGCGCACAGCAGCGCACGCAGAGGCGCATCCAGCCTGTGGGTAAAAGACAAGAAAGGAGACAGAGGGGCATGATGTGCGAACCTGAATATGACAAGGAGTTCTCCAGTTTGAACAACATGTCTTTTAGGCATACTACTTCCTAATGCCCTATCTTCACTTTCAGTTATAGTACCCAGTGCATTAAATTTAAATCTCTTTTCATCAAACAAACAAACCAAAAATTCTAATTAAATTTAAAAAAATAAATGATGAGTTGAAGTGCGAAAGAAGCAAAGGTTCTGACAATATTGTGAATTAATCTAATGTTTTACATGTTATCATTTGTTTCTCATTTTTTGTCCAAAACCTGTTAAAATACATCACTGAGCCTTCCCAAGCTAATATGCTTTAAAGAGGGAGTAGAGAGTTGATACCTAGAAGACTGTAGTTTTTAGCCTTGTGAAGGATTTTGACAGAAGCGCCAAAAAAATAAAACAACAGTAAAAACAGATAACTCTTCTCTCTGGATGATGTAACATTCAGAGCTACTTAGGTGCTTGCATGTCTTTGGTAACTTCACTTTCACAAGCCGATGAAAAGCTTTTTTTAAACATTGACACTTTTTCAGTTTTCTTTTTTGTTTCTATTTTGTTTGTTGTTAGGTTTTTATTTGTTACTAAAAATGACAACTGCAGTTACCCGTTTTTGAAAGGGTCAAACTCTTTTGATGTCAGCCGCTGAAATGCAGCTTTTAAAGAACTACAAAACAGCGTGAACTTGACTTCTTGTGCCAATGATGCAGCCTCACTAAAAAACTTGAAGGCAACTTTTTAGAGTGCACTACTTTTATCCTTTTTTAAGCATTCTTGGTTCATGACATTGTAGACAGCTGCAGCTGCTGTTCCACAACACCTGACAGCAAGTATCTGCAAATATGAGTGTCCCACTAAGGAGAGAATAAAAAAGACACGCACTGATTTGAGAGATTCATCAAACTCAAAGCAGACGGTTAGTGACACCTGCTTTCATATCATGTTTAAACTGTCTAATAAAGCCAGTGATCAGATAACATGAGCATCTTTGCAGGAAAAAATGAGAGAATGATGAGTGTAGCCATCAAAAGTAATGCTGATACAACCACAAAAGATACAATTTAGAACACTGCAGATAGGAAACACAAATGACTTTTTATAATATTATTATAATAACACCTTCAAGAATAAACTAAAAGCCACGAGAGGCTAAGACTGGGCCTGCATACTTCAGTGATGCATTCTCCAAGAATAATGATTCACTGAGATAGAACAGCTTCAGCTGTTTCACCTGATTGATTTTTAGTTAATGATTTCCAGCTTTTTTCATTACTTTAGCTAGCCAGATTCATTGTGTTTATAACTAATAGTTTTATTTGTTTACTCTAAGAAAATGATTTTCAGCTGTCATCCATGCATTTAGTGAAGTGCTTCAACCATTTTTTACAATTTCGGACTACATTTTCTATTGACAATGTGGGGAAAAGAATCATGCTATTTGTGGATAGAATCAGAAAATACAGAAAAACAGAACAAATTTATTTATTATTTAGCTCATGATATTCATGGGAAACTACACCCAGGTGTTCTGAGAAAAAAAAAACCTTGAGTCATGATGAATAATATTAAAACAAGTTGTGCAGATTAATTTTTTATATAAATTAATTATGAACAAGTTTGTTCGTGACCGGCTGTCACAATCAAATATTTTCATCAGCACTGTTGTTTGTGTTACTAATTTTTAGTTATATTGGGTAAATATTTTGAACTTGTATGTGTGGGTGTGGGTGTGTGTTTGTACAATTATCATTCTTATTCTTAGTTTGAGCTTGATGTGAGTTTAGTCTTCAAATTACAATTACAGTGGCAACCTTCTCACAACCCTTTCGAGGCCTGTTTGAGAGTTAAAACTTGGTTTTAGGGTTAAGGTTAGGATCAATTTTTTACAGACTTTTTTCAAGTCACGGTTAGACTGTTAGTTGTGATAGTTAAGGTTATTTTAAGGGGCTATGCAATGTATTATGTGAATGAATTTTCCCATAAAGCTAGCTTTTCAAACATACCCGGGTGTTTTCGCTTTTGTGTGTGAGTCTGAGTGTGTGTGTAGGAGACAGAGAGAAGGACTGCCTGTGTGTCCTTGGAGCTTTGTGGCTGCTGTGAGTCAGACTTCAGGAGCTGTGGAGTGTGAGCTGAATTCTGATTTCTAGAAAACTCCCCGGAGGGTCAGACTGAAACCCAACCTCCAGCTTAACTAGATTTACCATTATTAGCACCCGTGTTACCCTGAGCATATTGTCTTTTGCTTTTGGTGTCCTGTTTTCCTTTGTTGTATTTTTGGTAGTCCTAAGGGTATGATACACCATTTTATGTTATCTCCTTTCTGCTTTTTCTTCACAATGGCAGCTAACAAACAAAGTGTGAAAGGCTTTTATCCAAGAGGAAAAGGCCTTTATATTACGAAGAGTTGCAAACAGGCTGCCGAGCTATAATATTACATTCTTTCCTCAAGAACTCTTCATGCAAGTTAAGACCAAAACTCAGTCAGTTATTGATTATACTTTAATTTCTACTGTAACAGCTTGTGGCCTTAGGACTTGAAATAGTCTTATAATCCATTTTTTAGTAAAGAAAAACCTTCATGAGTTTGTAATTTATTTCTAAAGCTACGTTGAGAAGAAAAAGCAACAATTAAATTCAAAACCTCTTCTATTTCTTTTTTTTTTAGTTAGAATTATCAACAGATGGCAGATTATTGGCCAGATAATTCAACCACAACCAAGCAAAAACCGAGCAGGTCACTCCTTCCCACAGGGGACAAAACCTGACATCACTTCGCCGGCGGGTCTGCATTAACGAGAGGTTCGACAGGAGGAAATAAATGAGGCTGAATGAGAGTAAATGGTTCATTCAGACTCTTAGATCTTTTATGCAAGCTCTTTTTACAAGTTGCCTGTGGAGAGGAGAAGAAGCTGGACTGTCTGTCTGCCTTAGCTGAAGATGAATATGCAACTCTGGAATCAGACAGCGAACGTTTTCTTTTGACTGAAAGGAGTATTAAACACGTGATGACGAGAGAAACTGAAGTTTGTTTTATAGTCTCAGCAGGGACAGACTTCTAATCAAAACAGGATTAATAAATAATCGCTCAAAGGCTCTTATAATGGATAAATATGAAGGCTTTGAAGGCTTTGAAGGGAGAAATGCCACATGGGATAAAGCTGGCCGTTCAAATCAATTTAACAGAACAGAGATTTAGACTGACAGGTACCGATATCAACTAAACTTAAATGGGAACGGGCTAAAGAAAAGAAAAGTGAAATTCACTATACACTAAAAATTTGTCATATGAGAAAGAGTGCCCTTGAGAAACATTTACATGTTACATAAAGATTACCAAAGTACAGCTCAGCACATAAAAAGGTGTGGGTAACAAAATAAATAATTTATTAATTTAATAATTTAGACAATTCAAACAAGTTTGATTTTACATGAGTACTTTTATTTTATGCAACTTAATATTTTACCCCAGAATTTACACAGTCCCTTCAACTGCTTTTGTTTAGCGTACATCATCACTATAAAAGAGGGTCTCCAACAGCTGCTCCTCAAGAAATCCCATCTGTCGCTGGCATCAGCATTGAAGCCTGGGCTGGCTTCAGTGTCGATGCCAATTACGAAGCACGATACTCAGTTCTGTCTATTCTATTGCACCAACTATTTCACTTTTTTTACAAAAAATAAATATGTGGACTGATTGTCTGCTCGATTACCAGCTATAATCTTAAAAGGTTTAAACATAGTTGCAAATGAAATGCTGATGTCTGACACTTTTTAGTCAATTAGCTTATTTGACTGGCTGACTTCAATATCTCCTGGCCAAATAGATAGAACTCAATTCTGTCAATGGGAATTTTGCATATGTAATATTACTAAGTGTTACTGTTAAAGAGTTCACACATTTGATGAGCAAAGTAACCAAAAGCAAAACACTTTGCATGACACACTAAGGCTGTCAAAAGCAAATGCATTTCCAATTTCACCCACAATCTTACTGGTTGCTGTTTTTTTATATATATATATATAACTGGGATGTCAACAGCTCATCTACAAAACTGGGATTTATTAAATGAGCACAACACCAGCTAGCTTGACTTGCTGATAAAATCTGAGATGCGAGAGCTTTAGATGTCTCACATAGAGTATCAATGAATAAAAAGCAGCATACAAATATGAAAATATTGTAAAAAGAAAAAAAAGAAGAAGCAGTGGATATAGTCACGCAAAGAGATATTTTATTAAGATCATTTCAAATTCTAACATTAATAACTTCTATAATAGTTGAACAAGCTTGAATAAATAAGACAGTAATTGCGTCTTCCATGCTCATTTTATTCATCTTCAGGTCACACTGATGTGAAACTTTCTGCAAACTATCAGCTATCTGTCTCCCTCACTTGATAATTCAGCTCCTCTGTGGGCGTAGCCTCCCACCATGACCACATTTCCACAGGGCATGAAGTTTATAGAGACACACAGAGTGAAGGAGAAATAACAAGAGAGAGAGAGCTCTTTTTTGCCAGGCAATGGATGCATTCTGGTCAACAACAGAAGTGCAAAGTCAGGCATCACAAGTGACTGAATAGTCAGTGACTTCACCTTAAGGGAAATGCAGTGAGGGCCAAGAGAGAGGATGTTTGACCGCTAAGTATGCCAGGAAAGGTCATTTGAGGCTGGAAGGGAGGAAGGAGGTAGAGGGGGTGAACTACATTCTTAAGGACTGCACCAGCTTTGTGAGAGTTTGGCCCATTTGTCACTTTACCCAGGATGTGATGAGAGGGCTGATGCAGCACACATGCTGACATTTCTGTAAACGGGTTGACTGCATTACTGCATTTTTAGAGCATCAACCACAGTCAAGTTGTGACAAAGTGGAGGAGCAGTTGCAATGCTCTCCATTTGTCCCATATGTGTTTACCTTTTTTTTTGCACATTGTACACATTATTCTGTTTCTATGTATTTGC